CCCCAAAACCCCAAAACCCCAAAACCCCAAAACCCCAGTTATTTTATCTTTAATTGAATTGAGTAAAAATGGATTTCTCCCCGGAAGATTTGATCCTCAAACGGCCAAGTACAAAAACAAAATGGAGTCTAAATTCTCGCAAAACCTCTAGTAAAGAGAATCGGAAAATTTACTCCTCCAAGCAGTATAGGGTCGGCTCATTGGGCAATTTGGAGGTGGTTCAGCAACAGGTTACTAAGTTTAAAGTATCTCCTTCAACATCTAACAAGAAGAGGAGGATTTATCTCCCCGTGGAGAATACTCCTGCTCAAAAGGCAAATTTCACTCAATCCCAATTCCTGCATTCAATGAAGGAAAGCAGCATGACTACAAATCAGTATAGGAAGGTTAAACGAAAGTCTAATCTAGTACAAACTGTCCAGATTAAGAATAGACAAATAGCTAAATATGAGTCAGAAATAGAAAATCTGAAATAAGCTCTATAGAAACAAAACTCGTATCGGTAAGACTCCTTCATAACTCTATAGAGAGTGAAAGACTCAAAAGATTCTATGCAACAATTAAGCCTAAAAAGTCCTACGAACGGAAGTAATCTTGAGCAGAAGGAAATCCCGGAGCTGAAACAGTTACTTATCGAACAAGTCAAGGCAACTTTTGAGTTGAACCAGAAGCTCACTCAACGAGAAAATACTCTGAATAAGATAATTGAGATATACCAAGCCAAGGTAGATGTCGGGGAATCTCTGAAACTCAGTTCTTGAGACCTGGAGATACTCCAAAAACCTGTGCTTGAGTTATTCAAAGAAGTGAAGACTTTATCAATGGCTGAAGCAAAGTTAAACAAATATACTATCTATGTAAATATTTTTGTTAATTTATGAGAATGCTAATCTGGAACAGAAGCTTAAGGAATCTGAACAGAAAGTCACCAACCTCAAAATTGACATGAAGGCATTAAGAGGTGAAAAGATAAAGTATTTTTAAAGAAACAATAACATAGTTTGCAATCCAAAATCTCAAATTTAGAAGAAAAATTTGCCCAGAGCCGGACAGAGAGATCAGAAAGGCAGATGGGCCAGAATCCGAGGAGTCTTGCATCGCGATTTGAGGAGAGTAAGATGCTTAATGCGAATCTGACGAACCTGAGGATAGATCTCAACCCTGAAAATACAGGCTGATAGATATCAAAATCAGCTTGATCAAACCAATCCCAATATCTGTAAATATTTTCGGGGTTTTGGGGTTTTGGGGTTTTGGGGTTTTGGGGTTTTGGGG